GTCGGAGGAAAACACTAGGCTGCCACGAACCCGCGACTAGGCAGCTTCGTAACAGATAAGTCGCATTCACCAGTAGGCTACTTTATAGTAACACATCGTAGTAACTCTTTTAGTGGCAACAACTACCCAAGACACTACCCGGCTACTCAAAATCTTTCAACCCATTTTGGTCGCAGTTACTTAGCAGCTACGAATATACAACGTAGCCGCCGATGGTCACCGCCCCCTTTGTATTGGCTTTGATAGTAGCAGTTACGTATCTGCTACCATAAATGCTAGTTGGGTTATCACGACTGGTGCCCCCCTTCTTATATTAGATAGTTTAGAACTTCCATGCAACTTGGAGTTTTTTTAGGGGATGATCACCCTAACATTTAAAAAAGCAACCCCTGTATCAAGTTTTATAAACGCCATTTTAGTTACGAGTTCTATATGGCACGAGCAAAGCTTGCGAGCAAGTGTTTAATAAAAACGATAAGTTTTTTAAACGAGTTGCATAATATAATTTATCAACGCCGAACAGAAATAAGAATTTAAAGCAAATTTTAGTTTATAACTATTTGACATCTGACCAATTTAACCTTACTTTTTCGCAATTTATAATAAAGCTAACTTCAGCCTGTGACTAAAACGCCATAAAGTCACAGCTCGTCAATATAGGAGTAGATAATTAATTTAGCTTAAATTAATGAGTGTCTAGAAAAGTTTATAAAAGAGTTGCATACTATACTTTTTCAACGACAAGTACTTATTATTATTTAAAAATAATTTAAAGTATTTGTATAGGGCGCCATCTATAAAACAATAGGAGAATCTTCGTTACCGTGAAATGTTAAATTTGTATGTTATAAACTAAGATAATAAATCAAAATTTTTCTCTTGAAAATGGATTAAACAGTTTTTCAGAGTGAAAGTAAAGAAAATGTTTTATTAGCACTTCACGGTGGAGTCCGAGCCCGACTTTAAGTTATATTTAGTATACTGCCGGCGAAATTAAAACGTCAGTACAATGTTCATATGAACTTTGCAAATATGGGCGCTAAGAAACTATTTAATGCTTTTGTATTTTTGTATTGAGATAATAAAATAATTTTTACATTTAGTATTATTTTACAAGAAGGGCACAATATTTTAATGATTGTAAGACATTTGACAACTGTCAACTAACTTAAGGATAACTTCAGCCCGTGACTAAAACATGTTGCTAACTTCAGCCCGTGACTAAAACGCCATAAAGCCACAACTTGTCAATGTGTATTTAAAAGGTCACTTATTGTCATGGAAACATGTACGATAATGGGCGTTTAAAGATGGGAATAGAAAATAGTATATTATGTATCAAGTTTGATAAACGCCATTTTATACACGAATTTAATTTAGGCACGAGCGAGCTTGCGAGTGTATAGAAAAGTTTATAAACGAGGTGCATGCTATACTTTTTCTACGACAAATAGTGTACCTATTATTATCTTAAAATGATTTAAATCAAAAATTTGTATAGAGCGCCATCTATGAAACAATAGGGGAATCTGTGTGTCACCGTTAAATGTCAAATTTTTAAATTTTATAAAGGTTATAAATCGAAAAGTATTTTTTGAAAATTGAGAGTTTTTCACAGTGAAAGTAAAGAAAATGTTTTATGAGCACTTTACAGTGGAGTCCGTGCCCGAATTATTTAAGTTATTGTTTACGGCCGGCGAAATTAAAAGGTCAGTACAATGTTCATATAACTTTTGAAATATTGGCGTTGAGAAACTATTTAATACTTTTGTATTGAGATAATAAAATAATTTTCACATTTAGTATTATTTTACAAGAAAGGCACTTTATTTTAACGATTGTATGACATTTGACAACTGCCAACTAACTTAAAACTAACTTCGGCCCGTGACTAAAAACCTGTTGCTAACTTCAGCCAGTGACTAAAGCGCCATAAAGCCGCAACTTGTCAATGTGTATTTAAAAGGTCACTTAGTGTCATGGAAACATGTACGATAAAGGACGTTTTAAAGGTGGGAGTAGAAAAAGTATTTTAATTCATAGGTGGTAATTACATAGGTAGCTAACATATTGGAATGGCTTTAATAAGCTTTTAAAAAATTTGCCCCAATTATTTCACGAGCTCGCTCATGGGATTTACAAAAAAACTTTAATTTATTATAATCAATTTTTATCAACATGAACGTTTTTGGAAACAAATTTTTGAAATAATCTATGAAAAATCTGTGGGAAATAAAACTTTTGCACAAGTGTTATTTTCACCCATAATATAACAAGTGGTATGATTATCATCGATGATGTGCTGCTTCGGTTTTCAATGAGTAAATATTATCGATAATTAATCATACCACGAGTTATATTTAGTCACTAAATATAACTCGTGGTATGATTAATTATCGATAATATTTACTACTAAATTTTAGTGAGAAATTATAAAGAATTTTAGGATTTAACTAATTGTCAGTTTTACATTTGAAATTAAAATTTGCTTTAAAAAGACTTTAATAAACCTTATTTATTTAAAGTTACCTTAATTTTATTATCGTTTACACTAACCCATCGATCTTTTAGAGTTTATAATTCATTATTTTAATCATTTAACAAACACAATATTTAAATGTCAACAAATGTCAAATCAAGAAAAGTGTCAAAATCCTTAGCAACGTGTTAACAAGGTTACAATAGTTATTTGTTTTACAAGTGTTGAAAAGCGACTTTTTCATGCAAGTGTTTAAGTTGCTCACGAGGCCTTCAGGCCGAGTGTGCATTAACACGTTTTTTCTACGACCCTTTTGTTTTTTAATATATTCAAATACAAAACAAAATATCCTAAAAACGTGTTTGACAGCTGTTAAAATTCTTTTATCTTATTCTTTTAATTTTTAAGGTATTGTAAGGTTACTTAAAATTAATAAACTTACCTTCTTATTTTAAATAAAGGCACTAAAAACTAGAATTTATTATACAAACACAATTAATTGTGTTCTAAATGATATTTAGACATACATATACAAATACAATACAAATTTTGAAACGAATGTCAAACGATGCTGTCAATTTCTTTTCACACAGACCTGTCACTTTTCACACAGAAATTTCACTTTACATTCGTGTTTTGCCTTGCCAATGAAAAGATTCATTTTCTAAGCATCGATGCCAATACGAAATGTGACTTTTACATAGTGGTCGTAGAAAAAAATATTGCCGCTGTGATAAAATGCGTAACCATGAAATACTGGCATTTTATTGGTTCTAATTATAATGAATTGTATTGTGCATAGATTCTTTCAAAAATTCGTTTTTAACTCTAGCAACGAAAGAGGATCGATTATGTGGATAGCTTAGAAATTGATTATTACAGCAAGTATATTTTTTATGGAAAATCTTTAACAAAAAAATTAGCACTTTTTAAAATTGTTATTTTAAATTTCGTACTGCCAACTTAAGTAAGAAAAAAAACCAATTTATATTGTCACTTATTTACTTTTTATGTTGTTTTTAGTTTTTAATGATGCTTTTATTTGTCTGCCGACGGTGGACTAGTGGTTAGTGCTACTGACTACAAGCCGAGAGGTTGTGGGTTCGAATCCCACCAGGGGTATGGCTGTTTATTTGTGTTTGTCCTATTGTGTAATAGTCCTTCGGAGAGGACTTTAAGCCCGCGGTCCGTTCCTACTCCTAACCCGCTCAAGCCATTCGGTTGGCTTGTGGGACTTCTTAGGAAGTAAGGGTGGAACTACAAAGAGCACTTTTGTATGTAAACTTTTTGTATGTAAATAAGTAGAGGAACTGGTCCGAATATGGGCCCCTATTTTGTTTTTTTTTAATAATTTGGTTATTCTTTTTTCAAATGATGTGGAAAGATGTTTACATACTATGTAGGGACGTAGTAATAAAACAACAATATTAATTTCTCTTAAAAATTACACATTTATTTATGGCAAAACAAAGAATGAAATGGTGCACATTTTTGACTTTGGGCTAGAGGGTATGGAATATGGGCCCCCTTAAAAAGTTATATAAAGACCTCTTTCATTAGGATAAACACACAAGCACAAAATAAACAAACGTCACAAAAATAAAAAAAACACAAACTATCCGCAAAAATCGCACACATACTCATCCTCTGCTCTAGAGCACTGCTCATGTGCCCACAGTTGACATATTAGACACTGAACCCAGAGTTCTTCCCTATTATCATCGAGGAAGTGTCTGTCACAGAATAAGCATATTGCATCGTTTGTGGGGGAGAATTGTCCTATTTGATCCATATCATGGTCATCGTCGGCAGGCCCATATTTAATACACCAAAGGGGCCCATATTGCACCAAATGCAACTTGTAATAAAATTATAGACTAGGAACAAACATTGTTTTTTAGAATTAAAATCACTGCTACAATGCAATGTTAAACTTTCCTTCTATCACATGAAGCCTGAGCAGCTACAAAATAATATCAGGAAATATGAAAATTAGTCAAATTAAACTTACATCGAAAAGTTATGGCCCACAGAGAAACAATCAAACCGGCATATTCCAATAACAACAAGTGGAGTGATGGCGGTAATTGGTAAAACAAGTTTTGATAACCTGTTGGTGTAAATTTATACATTACCTGCTAGATGGCGTTAATTGTTTCATAGATGAGTGGGGGGGCCCATATTAAGTGCTCGGCCCATATTCGGACCAGTTCCTCTATTTGTTTATTAAAAGACAACGTTTTATTTAAACTACATTGAAACTGATTGAGTTTGCTGTCACGGCATACTGTTATTTATTCATCATAGTCAGAAGATAAAATGTCACCAATTTTATAATTTAATTGACTTTGTATCTCCATTAATAAGGGATTTAGCAATGGTGAGCAGATAAATAACTAACCTACTAGAAATAGACAATATATTTTTATAACAAAATATAAATAGATCGAATTTTTACTGCATTAATTTTTTTAACGTTTTACTTTTATTGTAAAAGCCCTTTATTTGGTACATAACTTACCAATTGTTGGTTTATCCTTTAAAGGTTTAAAATGGGAAGAATCGTTTCTTAATTCTCCATTTTGAGCTTTTGTCATTTTTTCATCGAGATACGTAGTAAATTGTTTAACCTCTTCATCGCTTACACAATGTACGACATAAATACCATAACAAATAACGAAAATTCTTATCATTTTATCCTTTTATTCTAAAAACCTATTAAATGTTGTTCATGTTTTATAATAATAATAATAAAATCAGTTTATTCGTCTCCAAAAACTTTACAGGTTTAAATATTTATATATATATTATATTTATACATATATAGTTATATGTATCAAAAAACAATAATTATAAAATATGTAGATAATATTAGTTAACAATGTCATTATAATAAGAATTTATTTACATTTATTTACAATATATTTTTAATAACTTTAATTTAGTACAGTGATGGACACGGAATTTTGAACATCATAATTTGGTTGTTCTTATGTAATTCTGTAAATAGCAAAGATACAATAATAACTTTCGCTGTCAAAATAAAAAGAATAGTTATATCCGGAGGTAAGGTTAGTTGTCCATAAAGGCAATTTAGATTTCGATGTCAACAAAATATTAGTCGTTCAAAATTACGTGTCCTCCATTGTACTTAAAATGAATTACGCAAAATATATTATATGTATATATGAATATGGTTGTATACATCTATAGATAAGAATATTGTTGAAGGTGTTATAGATATTAATATTGTTGTAGGTAGATGGCTTTTTTTAAATATCTTAAATATCGTTTTTCCGATTTTGTTGAAATTTGGCAACGTTACACTGAGAGAAAAAATGTAGAATCATTCAAAACAACAATAAATCAAAGGGATTCAAATAGGTTTTGGCGTCATTGGTGTGTCCCATTAAATTAATAGGTGTATAACAATTGTATAATACATATCTTTTTAAAACAACGTGGAGAAAGGCAATGAAATAAATAGATTTATTTTCATATATATAGTATATATATGAAAATAAATCTATATTATATACTTTAAAAGTGTTTAAAAACATTGTAAAACTGTTGGTAAATGAATATAAAACTACAAATTTTTCTACTTGAATCAAATTTACCTGATTAATTAAATTAATATAATTTCATATGCTTTTTATGACATGATATTTTTCTGAGTGTATTTATACGTTTCGTCCATTTTCTCCAATTGATTTATCAAAAAATAATAGGAGGTAGTTTTGCTCCTTTTTTCAGTTAAAAAAACTTTTCATGCAATAATATGGTTTTTATTGTTTCTGTCGAAAACAGGGTAAGATACGAAAACAACTCAAAATTTGTATTTTCAGTGGCTTAATTATAAAAAAAAATAAAAAATTGCCAAAAAGTCCATTTTTTTTATTAATATTCCCGGGACGCTACTGGACAATTTTAATCTAGTTAAAGCAAAACTAGCTTCTTATCAATATGTATAACGTTGTCAAATTTTAACAAACACCCCTAAGCATTTCTGGACCTACGTTTATATAAACTTTTTTTATTAATGACGAATCTCCAGCCAAGCATTGGTGCATGTTTTTTGAAACACCTTGTATATTTGTCTTGTTACAAAACAATATAGACACTTTTAATACACATATATTGCTGCATAGGGCCTTGTGATTATCAGTTATTTTAAAATTACTGCCTATTAAGTTTTTTTTAAGTAAGTTACCATAATTACATAAAACTACAAACAAAGGTTAAATTGATATACTACATATAAGTAGTTTAATTTATTAAAATATTGGTAAGTATTATTTTTAATCTTTTAAAATCTTGTCAGAAAGTTTCTAGAATAGTCAGCGCTGCAGCATCCCATACAGCACAAGATGTCCAATGGACGTCAAATGGATTTACATTGGACGTTTGGATGTACAATGGCCGTCCACTGGACGTCCAATGGATATATGTGCTGTGTGGGATTGTACCTAAGGTCATGACTCATGAGCGAGCGCACCTGGCAATATTTTAATTATACAGAAAAAACGCATGCATGCATAGCATGAATGGGTGAGCCATTAAACCAATGGGATCTTGTAATCCGTATTCCTGAATAACAGTTCCTATAATACCAATAGGTAGTTAGAACTTGGTTTATAATCGTTTACTATTTTTAAATTAACAACAAAAGTTATCGCTTCTAAATCTATTGCTATTCATATTGATATTTATTTTTTAGAATGTTAGAATTTTATTGCATTAAATACTAATTTGATTTATTGATACTATGTATACATTTAACGCAATAAATTCTTTGACATTTAGGCAAAATGTTTCAATATTTTGGTTTAATAGTAATTAATTGTGCAAATAACAATTTAGATTGCTTCAATTTGAATGCATTCAATGACAGCGCTGTTCTTGGTACTATGATTTTTTATGTGTATGCACCCCCCAATACTTATTATTAAATAAAAAAGAGAAACAACACAAAAACCGCGCGCGCGGAATTGTACTAAAGCCCGATCAAGCTACTTAAAAAACCTAGTGGCATGCATTAATTCCTCCGGTTCCAGATACCTGTCCCCGAGCTGTAGACTATATGCTCGGTAGTTTTATCCACTTCGCTATAGTACCTACAATCCATCCCGTTGCTGAGTCCGCTTTTGTGAAGGTGGTATTTGACTACCCACTGTCCTGTTAGGACTCCTGTGATGACTCTTAACTGGTTCCTGTTAATTTTTTTTGCCTCTTTGCAGTTTGTAGGACCTTTTATAAAAACCCTTGACTGTATGACTTGTTGTTCTCGTCATTTGTTCTGACTGGTTATTAGTCCAGTTCCTGATCTTTTCTTTTACCAAACAGTAGACGACCCCTATAGCAGTTCTGGCCCTATAAAGGACGTGTTACTGCCCTCGCAAGCCAGCTGGTCTGCTTCCTGGTTGCCTTGTTGAGCACACTAAGTAATTCTAGGGTTTTCATGCAGTCCAGTGTAAGCCTCGAGTTGACCCTTTCTGAGTAAAAAAACCCGAGTTTGCTGCTTGACTGTCGCTAAATTTGTAGATATGTTCAACCGAGTATCCTCCATGGACAATCTATTGGGCGCGTATCAGGATGGCATAGATTTTAGTCTGGAAGTCCATTGAGTATTGAACTAGTGCAAGGCCTATTCTTGCTTAAGATCGCTTCCCATATATACCAGCTCCTGCACCTTCATTTATTATAGAACCGTCCATGTAAGCCTGGTTCAGGCTCGCTCCAGTCGTTTCTTGAAGGGAAAACGACTTTATTTCTTAGGAGAGGGGTTGACGTTTTTGGCATTGCATCCTTTGTTCTCCCCCCTGTGAGCCCATTGTCTCCAATCGTTGAGTCTGATCGAGGCTTCCCGAGCCCGTGCCTCCACAAAGAGATCTATAGGCGTTAGTCCCAGTAAGGCCTCCTTTGCCAGTGTTGGAGTGGTTCTAAAAGCTCCAAATATGCCCATGCAGGCGGGTGGGTTTCCACCATACTGGACTACCGTATGTAATCATTGGCTTTATAACTGTTGTACTATATGGGGTTGTAAGCCTCAGGTACGTCCAATGGTCCTTCTACATGCCCATAGGCTAGCAGCTGGACGACCCTGTTAAGGTGATCCTTTCAGGTATACTCTCAGATATTTGACTGATTTGGATAGGGTTAGTCTTGATCCGAAGAACGTGAGCCCTTCTAGGTTTACATTTTTTCGGCTGGTAAATGGTACCACTTCGGTCTCATCCGGATTGACGGAAAGTCCGTGATCGTTGCACCACCTTCCGACCTTGTTAAGATCTCTTTAATAGTGTCGTCCATCGTTTAGGATGCGAAGTAGCCCATCCAGCACTAGGTACCACAGCAATGGCGATAGTACATTGATCTCCGTAGTTCCAATCGAGCTTGTAATGATCCCGCTTTCAAGCCTGACACCGATCCATTTGACAATGGTATTCTCTATGTCAAAGCCCTTTGCAGCTTTATTTATAAACAGACTATTAAGATTTTTTTAAGCAAAAATTTCGTAGGATAGACCTTACTTAAAAATTAAATCAGTGTGACGTGACGCCAATGGGAAGGGGGTCCCATAATTTGTGACACTTTGTGACAATGGGGGGAGGGGGTCAAAAATATTTAAAAAACGTGTGACATCATTTATGGACGGCCCCTAATTAAAAAAAGCATTTGCTTTAGAACAAAAATATTACGAAAGGTAACTTAAACAATCAGAAAACTGTGCTTTTTTACTGATTTAATTACTTTACTACAACACATTTTTGTCTTGCAAAATAAATTTTGGAACTAAATAAAATAAAAATGTTTGTAGGTATAACGTTACACCATAAGTGCCTATGCCGCGCGTGTACTTTAATCGCTTTTCCTGTAAAACTTGATTTATATATATATATATATATATATATTATATATATATATATATATATATATATATATATATATATATATATATACAGTCCGTTCAGAGTAAAACCGAATATAGGGAAACGTTATGGGCGTGGCCTCGCCTCCCTCCAAAGCGCGTCACAGTATCTTGTTTGATAAACGACATGATGAAAGGTCGAGCAGGTAAGACGACCTTAAAAATTAAATGATAATAATACAAAAAATCTCATTAGCGATGCAGGCTATTTGCTTAGCTACTGTGTCGCGCGTTGGAGGGAGACGAGGCCACGCCCCATATGTTTCCCTATATTCGGTTTTACTCTGAACGGACTGTATATAGATATATATATTAGGGTGATTCATTTCCGCAAAAAACTTTTTTTTCTCGGCGCTCAAGCAAAATATTAATCTACCTATAGAAAAAAAAATTTCACCAAGGTAGAGCTCTTAATATCAATTTTAAGTACTTGCAGTTTAAATTTAAAGTTTTCCCATTTAAAATGCATGTAAAAAAATGGTTTTTTTTTCAAATTTCTAATGCTCACCCGCTCTTTACAATATTGTGAATCGGTTTTATGGACCTTATAGGGAATTTCACGCTCTTCAAAATTGTCTTTGTGTTTTTTTGTGTAACTCGTAGTGGTTCGCCAGTAGGAGTCATCAGTTCAATTTTTTTAATGAACATTTTTTTTGCAATTTTTTTTAACAATTCGCAAATAATAGTGTAAAGAAAGAGCTGAATCGTATAAATAGTCTTTTAACAAATATTTGATGAATTTACGGCCATTTTTATATCTTAAAACGTGAGAAGATCTGCAAATACCCCCCCTAATAAACAATCCATGGGTTATTACGATCCTAT